ACGCTACGGCCGGGCGAGATGAGGGATGACGCCCTGCAGGACGTGCAGGACGTCCAGGTGCGTCGTGCGCGTGTCCCCGGCGGCGACGCGGCGCTTCTCACGGCCACAGACGGCGCGTCACGCGCGACACAGCCCCGCGCGGGGGCGAGAGAGACGGAGCACCGAGACGCTGAATTAAAACTTCCACTTGAGGGGACTCGGCGGCCCACTGGGACGCAGTGGTCACCTCGCGGCCAACGCTGATTTCGGACGACCATCGCAGGGGTGGGAGAGAGACAGAGTGGCAAAACACTCGGCTTGGCCGACGCGCTGGCTGCGTTTCCACGCCACCGGTAAAGCCAAGCCCTTTTAAAAGGCGGTGGGCCGCGGCTTGGAATGCCTGCCGAGCGATTCCGAGAAGTCGTTTCGCCACTCCGTCTCCCTCGCACCCCTGGAGGCCCCGGGGCTGCCCGTGAGTGCGACAGAGACAGAGCGTCGAAACGGCTGTTTGGAACGGCCGTGCTGGCGAGCGCTCACTCAGCGCACCCAGCCCAGCCCGGCCCAGCCTGCCCGGTAAATCTGCAATTCAGAGAAAGTGGGGGAGGCAGTCGAGCAATTAACGTGCTTCCTGGCCGTGCCGTGCCGCGCCGGGGGCACGCCGTCGAGGGCCTCGTCCAGGACAATCGCCTCCATTGTCGTCATCGCGGCGCCCGCGCGCCAGCAGCGAGCACTCCGAGAGCGCGGGCCTGAAGGCATCGCCTTCAGATTAATAATATTTGCGCCGCGCACTCAACTTCGGTCTCGGCCGGGCCGGGCCGGGCCGGGGGGCGAGAGCAAGCAGAAAGCAGCGCCACCCAGCGACCAGTCTCGCCGTTCGCCACAGGTGAATGGTTACGCGCGCGCCTCAGGGCGGCCGCGTATGTGTGTGTGTTTGTCTGGGCGTGCCTGTGTGTGTGTGCGTGAGGCCGTGCTTTCCGGCGGCCGCTCGGCATCCTTCGTCCCCGGATCCGTTCCCTCCCTCACCCCGCCTCTCCGAAGCCTGCCGTCCGATTCCGAGGGATCGTTCCGTCGCTCTGTCTCTCTCGCACTCAGGGGGCGCCCTCAGGAGTGCGAGAGAGACAGCGCCACGAAGGAATCCTCCGGAGTCGGACGGCTTGGCTCAAAAGTAGCCTGGAAACGCCCCGGGCGGGGCACCGCGCACGGAGCACCGGATACGGCACACCGGGCACGGCACACCGGACAGGGCGCAGGCCGAGCCTCTCCCGGAGGAACTGTCCGACGCGGAACGCGGAACAGGAAACGCCGAACCGAGTTGCTCGATAGTTTCCGCCCACGCCGGCCAGGCCGTCCGCGAGACATCGCGCCTGCGAGAACACCGCCCCGCCCCGCCCCGCGGTGTCACTCTCGCGAGTTGGGCGTTCCACGCGGGCGGGGCGGGGCGGGGCGGGGCGGGGCGGGGCGGGGCGCGCCCGCTTGATGGGGACTGAGGCGGCGGAGATGAACGGACGTGAGAGGCATCGCGGCCACAGAAATCACTGCGCGCCATACATTATGGAGCAGTCCTTCTCAACAAGATCCTTTCCCAAAAAATTGAAACGAGTCGATGAGGTCGGGTCCGCCTCACGGCCCCTTCCCTCTCCCCCGAGCTACCCGACCGAATTTGAGTACCGACGCGGCGAGCGGATGCAGGCGGATCCAAGCAAGCGCAGGGAGTAGCAGAGCCAAGGGTGACCGCGACAGAGGAAGTTTCCTTTTTTCTCGCTTCCGGAAAGTGTGGTGTGGTCGGTGACGCACTCCTTCCGTTTGCAGTGCTCCTGCCTGTGTAACCCGGTCCCGGTCGCCTCGCCCAGTCTCGCCGGGCCCGGGCCGTGAGGGACTCCAACAAGTACCAACAGGACACCGCCGCCGCCGGTACCGAATCGGGTACCGACCGCGGTCCCGGGGCCTCGAGTCACAGGCGCCCTCCGTGCTCTTGCTGGCCGTGCTGGCGGCGCAGGCCAAGGGCGGCATCTCCAAGGACTGCGGCGCGGGGACGACGGGCAAAAACCGACGCCCACCCATTCGTAGCTGCTGGCGGGCTGCTGGCTGGCGGCCCCGGTTAGCCCTTTTTGCCCCAATTAGTGGGTGCCCCGGAGGACCCGCTCAAGGTCATGCCGGCGACCACCTGTCAGAATGCCACCAAGGTCCGCCCACTCCTCTGCACCATTTTTCACCTCCACTGCAGCCTGCAGCCCGGCCCGGCCCGAACCGGCAAAAGCGACTCGTAATTGGGTTAGCTACGGGTCTGGTCGTTCGGGTTGGCCGCGGCCACGGCGGTACACGTCGCCGTGGACAAAGTTGTCCGAAACACGGACCGGCGGGCGAGGAGGCTGCCAAGGCTGCAGCCCCGCGGCCAAGGTGCCGCCCTGCCGGCATTGCTATGCATAGCGCGAGGCACGGGGGCGGGGCAGGGCGCGGCGGGGCGCGGCGGCATGGGGCGCCAACAGTCATACCTCGCCCTGGTTGGCCACGGCAAGGCGGGGCGAGGCTCCCCGGGGAGCCACTGGCAGAATGTGGGGGACATGAAGATGGACAGAAGGAAGGGGGAAAGAAGAGGCCGGAGTAAACAACTCGGCACGTTAATAACAACCAGCCGCGCCAAGTCGCGAGGGGAGCTGTCTCCGATCTGCATTCCCCTTCCTTTTTCTTCGCCACAAAGTTTCTTTTTCTTCCACCGCGCTTCTTTATTTCGGTCTCACATTCTACCCGTTCCGATAGAATGGGCTGGGACCGGCTGCGACGTGTGGGGTGTCGGACACGGACACACACTCACACTCACAGACACGCACGGCGGGCAATCCAATGCCACACAATCCCGTCGCGTCCCGTCGAGATATCGCATCGCAGGCACGCCATGGGCACGCCGACGGCATCCCGAGAATCAAACAGAGACTCGCAGCGACCGGACCGAGGACAAGGAGTGTGTGGCGGCGGAGTTCCATTGGGGAGGCGCGTCTCTCTCTCTCTCTCTCTCTCTCTCTCTCTCTCTCTCTCTCTCTCTCTCTCTCTCTCGCACACACACACGCGCACGCGTTGGCGCCGAATCCCTGCTTCGCGTGCCGTCGAGCCAATTTGCAGTGGATGCGCTGGCCGAGGCGTCCGAGGTGATGATGGCGGCACCGCGGCCAGGGCGAGGTGGGGCCGCGGCCTCCAGGTCGGCCTTCACGCACACTGCGGCCCACTGCGCACTGCCCACTGGCCAGGTGTCGGCGCCAGGGCGGCGGAGGCTGCGGCGGATGCTGTGGCGGCCTCCAGGGCTTGTTACAGCGGGCGGCAGGCGGCCCCCGGGGCACCGAGCCCCCATGACGAGCACCACCGCCATTACCATTAGCGTCCCGGAAATTCACCTTCCCGCAGTGTAGGCGCGCCGTGCGTGCACGTTCGTGTGCCTGTGCAACTACACCCTGGATCCAGGGGGTAAAACATTGAGGCTCGTTTCTCGAAACAAATGGTGCGGTGGGGAAGCGCAACCGTTATTCGGTCCCACAGTTTTTTTTCACAGTCGGCGGAGGGGAGGGGGCAGGGATGCCGCGCCGCGGCAAGCGGTCAAACTTCCACACAATGTACTGGCGCCGCGACTGGCGCGGTCGGAGGGCAGGTCCCTCTCCACAGCGACATCGGAATAAACAAACAAAAACGAACAAACGAGAAGGCAGTGCCAGGCAGGGCCCCAGAGACGCAGTCTTGCGGTCTTTGACGTGTTTTCCTCTCCGGGGCGGGGCGGGGCGGGGCGGCCGCCCCCGCACCACTCGCCCGGGCGACGTCTCACGTGCGGCGTCGCGGCGTGACGCGGCGTGACGAGGGCGGTCGTGACCAGCGCGACGTAGCGAGAAGTGCCGCGCGAATCCCAACGCAATACCAGCGCAGCGCCACAGACTTTGCCACGGACTTCACCACGTACTTCGCCACATACTTCGCCACAGACTTCGCAATGGACTTCACCACAGACTTCACAACGGACTTCACCACGGACATGACCACGGACATGACCACGGGCATGACCACGGGCATGACCACGGGCATGACCACGGGCATGACCACGGGCATGACCACGGGCATCACCACGGACTTCACCACGGACTTGGCCACGGACTTCACCACAGACTTCACCATGGACTGGGTCACGGACTTGGCCACGGCGCGACTCTTCGCCGCCACCCTCCGCGCCAAAACAAAAACCGACCGCGCTTCGGATGTACTTGCAGTGTGCAGGCAGTCCCCGACCGCCTTGAACAAGTGCCAAACGGCGGCGGCGAAGACGATAAGGAAAAACGGGGAAAGAAGACCCCGCGCGGCAGCGCTCCGGACAATTATTGCGCCGACAAAGCGGCACCCGCTCTGTCTCTCTCGCAGCGCCACCAGGCACCTCGCACTCATCATGGGGCGGTCGAGGCGGCGGTGGTACGGTTGGGTCGGGTAGGATAGTGCGGTCGTTACAACTTAGGTCCGCCCCAAAGCCCGTGCGCGGCGCGGGGCGCGCTGCCGTTGGGGACACACCTGGCGGACTGGCGGGCCCAGCGGCCGGCGGTGCCACGGTGCGGCACGGTGCGGCACCAGCACCACCAGCCCGCCTCGCCGCCTCGCCAATGGACGAATAATTGGACCGGCACTAGCAGCGGCGAGTGATCCCCACCATTAACATCGAATTTGCATCAGGCGCCGCGCGAACCCGCCACCACAAAAGACACAAGCCCGGCCGAAAAGTCGGAAACAGCGCCGCGCCACTCACTGCAAGACCCACTGGCGCGCTGTGCGATTGCGGCGGCCACTCGACGCGTCATGATGACGTCACTCGGAAGTGGGGCCGACAAAGACCAAAACAAAAACAACAACAATAAGCACCCCGCGCTGCCCCATTGTGGGGCGTGATGGCTGCACCTGACGATGAAGGGCCTTCCGCGCCGCGGCCCGGACGGATTCACCGCCGATGCGCGCGGGACGCCGCGCCAGTGCAGGAGAGAGAGAGACCGGGCGACACTCACCTGGCGCTGAAGACGGCGGCCAGGGCCAGGAAGCACGAGTCGGCCACGCCGGGGCTGCCAGTGTAGCAGCGGTCCACCACCCAGTCCAGCAGCGGGCCGACGTCCGGGTTGCACTCCAGCAGCAGCACCACCGTCTCCCTGGCCAGCTGGTACACCTGCAACGGAGAGAGAGAGCCTTTTTAACAGCGGCTGTCCACCACCCAGTCCAGCAGCGGGCCGACGTCCGGGTTGCACTCCAGCAGCAGCACCACCGTCTCCCTGGCCAGCTGGTACACCTGCAACGGAGAGAGAGAGCCTTTTTAACAGCGGCTGTCCACCACCCAGTCCAGCAGCGGGCCGACGTCCGGGTTGCACTCCAGCAGCAGCACCACCGTCTCCCTGGCCAGCTGGTACACCTGCAACAGAGAGAGCCTTTTTAACGGCGGCTGTCACGGACTGTCACGGACGCGACAATGTTCGCGTTGGCGCGGTTCACACCCTCCACGGAGTTGGAAACGGCGGCGCGGCCGGCGGCCAATCTGAGGCCGCCGTAAACCGAGGCGCGGGGCGGGGCGACGTAAACCGGTCGGAACAGCGCAGCGGCACGACGGAGACGACCGCCACCGCCCCGCCCTGCCCTGACACTGAGTGATGCACGGACCCGCAATTTCATCCCTGTCCATATTTCTCACCGATTCGCCCGTCTCGTCCGCGTCGACGCGACGCGACGGCTCGCACATGACGCGGGACGGACCGCGGACTCCCGACTCAAACCCACCGGAGGCTACCCGCCAGCGCTGCCGCTGGCCAGGGCACCGTGTCGCACACTAATACCGACCAGCTGGGGCGGTAAAGTGAGCTTCGTCCGGACCCTTCGAGATTGAAGGGCACAGTATTGCGGCAGATCCAATCCCATGCATTTCGACTTTAAATGTAAGCCATAAGTACTTACCATACCTACCAGAGTTTGACAGACAGCGGCGCCACCCTCTGGTAAAACAGGGGAACCAGCTCCATTAGGAAATGAAACTTGGACCAGCGATCGGGGATTGTGTGAGGGTAGGGTGTGGGTTGGGCGAGAGGCGGGCCCTCTCCTCAGCCTCGCTGCCCGGCTTGTCCTGGTTGGCCGCATCCCCTTGTTTATTTTTGTTTCGGGACGTGTCGTCGGGGGCGGTGGGGGCGGTGGGGGCGGCGGGTGCGCTTCGACTCCGGCCGGCGTCCCGCCTCCCCGATGCTCAAGGTTAATACGACCACACAGCCTCGCACACAGCATCTCGTCCTTCTTCTTTCGCCCGCCTTCTTCTCGGACACGACAGCTTCCCGCGGTGCTTTTACCAGCCGAGCGATTCCGGACGGCCTCTGTCTCTCTCGCACCCCTGCGGGACCGCGTGCGGGACGCCCCACGAGTGCGACAGAGACAGAGGCCCTGCAGCCTGCAGCACTCCACTTGCTTCCGCCGCTTGCTTCGCGCGGGCCGAGCCAGGCCGATGCTGTACACACTCTGCAAATGGAGGGCTTATTCCGAGACGGCCCGTCCATCTGCAGTGGGCTGCAGGCGGTAACCCCCCTCCCCCAACCCCCTCACACTCTTCTTCACGTCGCGGCCAGACTGGCAAACTATTTGCTGAAACACGGCGCGCGTCGCCAACACAATCCCCATCCCCAACACAAACGCAACTCCCAGCCCAGCCCAGCCCAGACTCACGGCGTCCGAGCCAAGCCCGGCCGGGGCCGTCCCGGCCAAGCCGATCCGCGTAAGTCTCAGACACCGAGAGTGTTCCGCCAACTCATCAGGACTCATCAAGGCCCCGCAAACTCGGCCGTTCTGCCGTGCCCGCCGTGCCGCCGTGCCGCCGTGCCCGCCGTGCTCGTTCCCACCGACCAAGTTGGCGGCGGTCTCTGCTCTGAAGGGCATCGCGCCGCCCGGCCGCCACCGGTAGCGGACTGACTCCGAGAGTCGTTCTCGTCGCTCCGTCTCTCTCGCACCTGCACGGGCACCCACCCCACGAGTGCGAGAGAGACGAGAGCGACCAGTCGAACCAGTCTGCTGCTACAGCCGCAGCGCTCCGGCCTCCGGCTGCCTCCGGCCCGCCGTCGAACACACGCGTCACGCCTCGCTGGAACCAGGGAGGGAGGCTCCCCGACGACAGATCCTCGCCGATCCTTCAACGCGATTTTCCCCGAACAACAACTTTCTCGCAGACCACTCGCCCGTCCGCCCCCAATCCCTGGCGCTCTTGATCGCCGGCCCTCGTCCATTCTGCGTTCCTTCTTCCTCCCGCACGATTTAATCGGCGTCCAGTGGCGCGACGCCGGGGAGGGATTTCTAGCGGAGTGCCCCAGGTCCCTGGGCCCGGCCCGTCAAAGCTCCTCACCGTCTTGTTCGGCCAATCCGGCTCCAAAGAAAACATTCCCTAACTCAACACCAATACGGGTTAATCGCTGCAAGGTCCCGGACGCGGCCCTCCCTGCGACTCCCGCCGCCTAGAAGCGCGGCTACAAACACCAACTTTGTTACATAAACGAAAAAAAGTGTTTGACGTGCTGCACACGCCACGCAGCCCCCGCCGCCGAACGCGACCCACTTAGACTAGGCCGAGCTCCTGCAGGCCACGCAGCTGCACACTGCAGGCAAGGCAGCCCATCGTGCTCACTGCCTCCCCCCCCCCCCATCCCCGTCCCTTTCGTTTGGCAAAACCCGAACAGAAACGAAATCAACTTGGTGACCAACACCATCTCCCGAAATCCTTGGTTTCCTATCCTTTCCTCGTTTCGTTGTTTTTATTTCTGGGGGTGGAGCACAAATACCCCAGGACATCTCGCAAGTGCCCGCGCCCGCGTACAAGCTCAGTGGGGGCCGGCTAGGAGGGTCATCGGAGACGGTGCTCGGAAGCGGCCTTCTGGCATTGCGAGAGACTCTGAAGAGGCAACTCGCTCGCTTGCCCTCGCTAGACTTAACCTCATTGGGGAACTCGCTAGGCGCAGACGAGCAAGTACGACTTCTTAGTCGACAAGAAGCTGGCTAGAGGCCCACTGGAAGTTTGGAGGCTCAACTGGAGCCAGGCACGCCTGACCTTTACACCCGAGGAGTCGCCACAGTCCCCAAAGGCTTGCCAGAGCAAGCGCCGACCCATGCAAGGTGCACCAGGGATGAGTGAGCCACCCTCAGAAACAGAAACAAAGGAGCGAGAAGAGGGCAGGAAAACAGGGATTCCGCAAGATCGTGCAGTTCGCGAAGTTGATTTCCTTACTGTTCAGGTTTGACCAAACAGTGGTGGGGTGGATTTCGGTATAACCCGCGGTGGCAATGCCAACGGCCTAGTGGCCTAGCAACACTAGGAGTGACAACTCGAAGTGACACACGCACTTTCGCCGCGTGACCCGACTGACTGGCCACTGGCCGCCGTCCGACGGCTTGGCCAAAACGGGCCGGCCCTGACCTTGAAGCGGTATTGGGCAGACGGAAGGACGCGCGGAAAGTGCGGACGGACAGCGCGACCGATCTGGCGCGAAAAAGCAAAAGTCCAAACAAAGCGCAAGGCGCTGTTGCTACTTTGTGTCTTACAAGCGAACGTTTTCAGGTGTCAGGAGCCGATTGCTCCCATACTTCGGGATCTTAAAGACCACCCTAAAAAAGAATTTTCGGCACCCACAGTTCGTGCTGAAAGTCACTACAACGCCCTAAAATGAAAGTTGAAAATTGACCAATTTTCATAAAGTTGACCAAAAAATTTATCTTCAAAGAGCGTCCATGAAAGCAGATGATACGTACTTTCTTAGTTCCCGACAAAAAAATTTAAGAGCAGAAATTACAATTTGCCATGGTAATTGTTTTAGTTTGAAAAGGTCTTATGAACTTTCCAAGCCTGTTAAAAATTGAAAATGAAATAAATTGGATCAGAAGAGGCTTTCCAAGGACCCACAGCACCGTGCGGGACGCCATTACCCCTGCCACACCGCAGGACCTCTGACCATCCGAGGTGCCCTATTTCGCCGCTAGGTTTCGCCCGCTGCGTCCGAGGCGAGCCGCCAAGCGAGATGGTAGACTGCCCCCCCCCCCTCCCCGGTCCCTTTAGTTTGGCAAAACCCGAACAGAAACGAAATCAACTTGGTGACCAACACCATCTCCCGAAATCCTTGGTTTCCTATCCTTTCCTCGTTTCGTTGTTTTTGTTTCTGGGGGTGGAGCACAAATACCCCAGGACATCTCGCAAGTGCCCGCGCCCGCGTACAAGCTCAGTGGGGGCCGGCTAGGAGGGTCATCGGAGACGGTGCTCGGAAGCGGCCTTCTGGCATTGCGAGAGACTCTGAAGAGGCAACTCGCTCGCTTGCCCTCGCTAGACTTAACCTCATTGGGGAACTCGCTAGGCGCAGACGAGCAAGTACGACTTCTTAGTCGACAAGAAGCTGGCTAGAGGCCCACTGGAAGTTTGGAGGCTCAACTGGAGCCAGGCACGCCTGACCTTTACACCAGAGGAGTCGCCACAGTCCCCAAAGGCTTGCCAGAGCAAGCGCCGACCCATGCAAGGTGCACCAGGGATGAGTGAGCCACCCTCAGAAACAGAAACAAAGGAACGAGAAGAGGGCAGGAAAACAGGGATTCCGCAAGATCGTGCAGTTCGCGAAGTTGATTTCCTTACTGTTCAGGTTTGACCAAACAGTGGTGGGGTGGATTTCGGTATAACCCGCGGTGGCAATGCCAACGGCCTAGTGGCCTAGCAACACTAGGAGTGACAACTCGAAGTGACACACGCACTTTCGCCGCGTGACCCGACTGACTGGCCACTGGCCGCCGTCCGACGGCTTGGCCAAAACGGGCCGGCCCTGACCTTGAAGCGGTATTGGGCAGACGGAAGGACGCGCGGAACTTTCCAAGCCTGTTAAAAATTGAAAATGAAATAAATTGGATCAGAAGAGGCTTTCCAAGGACCCACAGCACCGTGCGGGACACCATTACCCCTGCCACACCGCAGGACCTCTGACCATCCGAGGTGCCCTATTTCGCCGCTAGGTTTCGCCCGCTGCGTCCGAGGCGAGCCGCCAAGCGAGATGGTAGACTGCCCCCCCCCCCCCCCTCCCCGGTCCCTTTAGTTTGGCAAAACCCGAACAGAAACGAAATCAACTTGGTGACCAACACCATCTCCCGAAATCCTTGGTTTCCTATCCTTTCCTCGTTTCGTTGTTTTTGTTTCTGGGGGTGGAGCACAAATACCCCAGGACATCTCGCAAGTGCCCGCGCCCGCGTACAAGCTCAGTGGGGGCCGGCTAGGAGGGTCATCGGAGACGGTGCTCGGAAGCGGCCTTCTGGCATTGCGAGAGACTCTGAAGAGGCAACTCGCTCGCTTGCCCTCGCTAGACTTAACCTCATTGGGGAACTCGCTAGGCGCAGACGAGCAAGTACGACTTCTTAGTCGACAAGAAGCTGGCTAGAGGCCCACTGGAAGTTTGGAGGCTCAACTGGAGCCAGGCACGCCTGACCTTTACACCAGAGGAGTCGCCACAGTCCCCAAAGGCTTGCCAGAGCAAGCGCCGACCCATGCAAGGTGCACCAGGGATGAGTGAGCCACCCTCAGAAACAGAAACAAAGGAACGAGAAGAGGGCAGGAAAACAGGGATTCCGCAAGATCGTGCAGTTCGCGAAGTTGATTTCCTTACTGTTCAGGTTTGACCAAACAGTGGTGGGGTGGATTTCGGTATAACCCGCGGTGGCAATGCCAACGGCCTAGTGGCCTAGCAACACTAGGAGTGACAGCTCGAAGTGACACACGCACTTTCGCCGCGTGACCCGACTGACTGGCCACTGGCCGCCGTCCGACGGCTTGGCCAAAACGGGCCGGCCCTGACCTTGAACTTTCATTTTAGGGCGTTGTAGTGACTTTTAGCACGAACTGTGGGTGCCGAAAATTCTTTCTTGAAATGGTCTTTAAGATCCCGAAGTATGGGAGCAATCGGCTCCTGACACCTGAAAACGTTCCCTTGTTAGTGCCGCACGCCCGGCAGGCCGCCCCGCAGGCCGGTGCGTCACTGCGCCCTACCGCGCCGAGGTTCGATCCCCGTCGACCGACGAAAAATTTTCCGGTTTACTACTTTCTTCCGTCCGCGGGCTTGGTTCGCGCCCGGCCTCCTCCGGCGCGACACGACACTGTGACATGGCGCTGTAGCGACGGCGTCACGGGACGCGGCGTGAGAAATGGGAACAGTTGCGCGACGGACGCTGCGCGAATTAGAAATGCAATTTCAGAGAACAAGATCATGCTAACGCCTCCCTATATTAATACGGTTAATACAACGTGTGATCGGGACCGATGGAAGGAAACATCTCGACCGACGACAACTGCGCGCCCCTGCTTCCCCACTAGCCTAACTGGCGACCGGGACTGGCCCCGCGAGCGGACGGCAGCGCAACGCGCGCAGCGCACTCTTGCGGCAGCTGGCGGAACCACGTCGGGTCGGGCGGTGACAAAGGCGCCAAAGTCGTTTCTGTGGAGACCATCTAATTCAGGCTTATTTCCTGTCGTTTTCAGTAAGGAATCGTCAGAGAGTCTGCCATTTCAATTACTGTGTGGGCAAGATCTAGCGGGTGATGGGTATTTAAGGGCTTAACGACTGGAATACACCGCATGCTCTACATTCCAGTCAACCATAAGCCTTGGCTGCTTCAAGTCAAATTTCTTGAAACAAGCCCTAACTACTCACGGACTTGTTTTAAGTCCGAAATGACTTGACCCACGACAAGACGAAACAAGGCAATATCTGACTTGATTTAAGTCTTTTCTGGCCTTGAAGCAATCAAGGCCCAGTTAGCCTTGTTTCAAAGCCAGCCCGACTTGATTCAAGACACCTTTCTTCTGTGTGCGGGGTTAGGGGAGGTCGGCAAGGGCTGGAACGGGCTGGGCTGGTAACGGGGGACTGCGAGCAGGGGGACGTCAGACTGCGGACTGATTCCGAGAGTCGTTTTCGACGCTGTGTCTCTCTCGCACCAACATTGGACGCCCCATGAGCGCGACAGAGACAGAGCGACGAAAACGACTCTCGGAATCAGTCCATGAGTCCATACTACCGGCGGCAGACAAAGACGAAGACGAGGGCACGCCAACTTTGGCGGGCGGGCCCGGTGCTGCTGCCGCTGCTGCTCCTTGCACCTGACAACGGTGATAAACGCCGCCGACGATGATATCTTTTTCTTGCCGTCTGGCACACACACACACACACACACGCACACGCTGATAATGGCTTGATGTGTTGTTCCGACGCAGCCTTCTCCCTCCGGCCGGCCCGCGATGCGCGGGACGCGGCTGCTTCGCGACCACTTGGAAGCGGCTTCGATTCGAATAACCGGCGCTCCAAGCGGAAACCGCGCAGCCAAGCCAGCCAATCATAAGCGGCTGTCTTAACGAAAGCGGTCGTAAAGTCGGCCCGAGGCCTCACCGATGCACAAACACACGCGGTCACACGGCACTGTCACTACACTCGACACTCGCGGCGGGCTCCACACGGCGGCACAACAAAGAACAAAGGGCAGCGCGCCAACGGACGAACCGAACGAACACAACCGCTCGGCGCGGCGTTCCCGCCAGACCGCTAGTGCACCGTCCCGCCACCAGAGCGCGCTCAACCCGCCGCTTCGCGCCACCTTCCTAAATGGCCTAAAACCGCCTGAAGAAAGCACCTATTTTTTCCTTGAAATTAAAAACGATGAACTAGGCCCTAACCCCAAAGTTTTTGTCTTGAAACCCTAGAAATAATTGGGTGCGATCATACTGCCTCGGTGGCGAGGTATCGACTATTTCAGCGGAGGCGAGAAGAAGAACAAAAGGCGAGCGGGTCACTTCCGCTTGGGTCACAACAAACAGACAACAGAGGATTTAAACATCGCCGAAAATATTTTTTGTCAGTTAAACTGGCAGTTAAATAGGCATGTTTTTAAGTAAAGGTGTCATCTGCTAAAAAGAATGAAATAAAAATAAAAACATGGAAGAAAACACGAGCGGAGAGGTCCCTGGTCCCGGGCGGCAGCAGTGGCGGTGCCGACGACCCTCACAGCGAGCGAGGTCAACGGCAGGGCGGCGCGGCCAAGACCGCGGCCACCTAGGCCTTCCCGGGCAGGCAGACCGGACGGCAGCCTCGTCCACGGAAAGCGATTCATGCATTCCAAATGGCCCTGCCGCCCCGGCCGCCTCAAAGGCGTGTGTCATGCAGACCCTGGGTGCCGGCTCCGCCAGGCTCCGCGATCCCTCGCGTGCCCCTCAAGAGGCCCGGCCCCGTCGGCCGGCCGGCCATCCAATCTGCCTCCGAGTATTTGCGCAGGCCTGCTGCATCGGGCGGGCCTAGGGCTGGGCCTTGGTCGCCACCCCGGCGGTGACTGGCACGTGATGGTGTCCAGGGCGTCGGCCGCGCGGCGAGCAGCGCGCACGGAGCCAAGGCGAGGCGGCGGCGGACGCGGCGGTCAATAGGATTAAGATACCCGGCCGGGGGACACCTGGGCGGCCAGAGAGAAGCTCATTTTTCTCGGCGGAAAGGGGAAAAAGGATTCCCCGGGACGCTCTGCTCGCTCCGCCGCGTGTCACACACACTGGCGGAATGGAACGGACGAGGACGAGCTACACTCTCGCGCGGCGAACCAGCGCCACGCCGACACGGCGGCCATGTGCTTTCCAGCTCCAGCGGCACGGCGGTGCGGCCGCGGCACTTTATGTCTACCTGCAACGAGCAATGCTGGCTGGGGCCGTAAAGTTGGCCGGCTGATAAGAAAGGGAAAGGGAGGGGGGCAGGGGGTGCAACCGACTGCCTGTGAATCACAACTGGGGCGACAGATAAAACAGAACGGACAGAGTTCATTAAAGGCGGGGCGGAACGGAAGCGAACGGATTGGCATCGATAGGGAAGGGCGGGGAGGGGGAGGAGGAGAAGAGCTACCTTCCCAAGCGCCGAGAGCGCCGCGAGCGTAGGCATCCGGCGGCGTGGCGCGCAGCCGTGTGCCGCGGGCATGCCTACCCCGCGATTCGCAGGCGCTTGGCCCGCCGCCACTTCGAGGCCCTGTCCCTCACCTTCTCGTCCAGCGAGGCGAGCAGCATGTCCAGCCAGGGGTACAGCGCGCCGTCCTCGTGCAGGGCGTCCGGGTTGAAGCAGGCGCCGCAGCACAGCAGGGCGCTCATGGCCTGCAGGGCGGACAGCTGCAGCTCGGTGCAGGCGGTCGAGGCCGCGTCGTCGGCGGCGTCCTGGCCCACGCCCAGCGCCCGCGCGAAGCGGCCCGTCCAGCCCGCGAACAGCGAGAACAGGCTGCGGCGCAGGTCCCGCTTCAGCAGGTTGTGGCACGTCTCCAGCGAGAAGCTCTTGATCATCTTGCGGATGAAGTTGCAGAAGTGCAGCTTGACCGTGGACGGCAGGTCCTTCTCCGGCTCGCTCTCCAGGTACAGCCTGGCGCCCTCGATGTACTCCACGATGGTGGGGTGCAGGGACCGGGACTCGGCCTCCAGCATGCTCGAACTGCAACGGACCGGCAAGGCAAACATGGTGAGTCTCAAAGCGTCAGGGTCTAGAAGGTAACACGCCATTCTGTCTCACGGTCCCGTGCCGCTCACCTCATGCCGAAGGTGCCGTGCTCGGCAATCAGCTCGAACACGCGCACCACCTGCAGGCGCAGCGCGTCCCGCCGGCGCCGGCGCCGCATGTTCTCCTGCTTGCGGTCCACGGCCTCCCGGATGTACAGCACCAGCTCCTCCAGCAGGTCCTTGAGGGCCTCCACGTTGACCCGGCCCAGGGCCTGCACCGCGGCGTCGCGCACGTCGGCGGCCTCGCAGCGCAGCAGTGGCACGACCAGCTTGTAGAGGCCGCCGGGCGGGCAGGACACCTGGCTGCCGCCGGGGTTGCTGGCCTTGTTGTCGCCGCGCTCGTTCGTCAGGCTGTCCGGGGACGAGCTGCGGAAGAAACTGCACACATGTAGACTTTTAATGGACGGACGGGACCAGAAGGGAGAGACAGAGCGAGCCAGGCAGAGCAGACGCAGAGGAAGAAATGAGAGCAAAGAAAACGACAGCACGTCCTTACCTCAAGCTCAAGTCAGGAGAGGCACACCGAACCACTGGGCTGGGAATCGGTGGCACCACACGGAATGCAAAAGCAACATAGGTCTTCCAAACGTGCATGTGGATGTCACGTTCATTGATGGGTTTCCGAACGGTCACAGAGCTTCTCAGCAAGGATGCTCTGTTGTCGCTTACAGGCCTAAAAATTATTTTAAAAAATAAGTATATACTCAATAGTTGTTATTTGATTTGATGTTCTTGGACTCTCGATGAAATACTTACGTTGGGTCAATGACAGTAAAGAGAGAGTTGATCCGAGAGAAGACAATAGGCCAAGAATGTAGGACAGCTGTTGGGCAGGATGACAGAACTCTATCTTTCTCTAAGAAACCAAACAAACATGTAGCCCATGGGTCAAATCCAGCCAAGTTTAGCTGGGAAGAGCTTTTTGTACTATTCTCATCTTGAAATCCTGCATAGAAAACAAATTGACATTTTTTAAAATTCCACAGCGGATTCTTACAGAATTATAGAACGGAAAATTACCTGCAGTCCACACTGAGGAACTCCGGTCAGCAATCCACTGCAAGTCTATGGATGATATAGCTAAAGCAGCTGACTTCTCAGGAGGAGGGAGTGAACTGAGACATTTTTCAAACACAACCGGACAACATTTGTCAATAACATCAATGACAGGTTGATCATGTCCAGCACTGCCAACCAGCTTCAACAGGTGTTTCACTTCTCGTAGGATGTGAACTGACAACCTTCGAGGATACAATCGGCAGTGGCACAGCATCACTAAAGCCAGGGCCTCTACCATATGCAAGACAGTCCCTGCAGCTTCCACTTTCTGCAAAAGGGAGATAAAGAACAAAGGGGTTATTTGAGGGGAAGGGAAAACTGACAGAGGGAAACAAAAACACAAGACAAAGACAAACCTGAACTGCGTCCTGAAGCTTCTTAGCATGGGGAATGTGATACTCTCGTTCACTTGCAGTGCTGCGATCACTGATGGTACTTCTTTCGCTTCCCCTATCACTACTTGCAGCAGATGGAGGGTGAGTGGGGACAGGCTGCGAAGAATGGGCCACTGATGTTCGCAAAGTAGTTGTTCCAGGAACAACCAAAGCATTTTTCCAACTAGTCAGCAGTTGCAAGAGCATCCTAAGCCCATTATCAAGTAGTTGAGGGAAAGTGTCTTGCACATCTCTGGCAAGAAATTGTGTGAATCCTAAAAGAACAAGCAGAAATTTAAGTCAAAGAAAAACTTCAGGTTGCAAGAACATTATATGATAGAAAGGCCAAATGAGAAGATGTGACTTACCACAAATAACATCCTGTCTCCAATCTGGGAAATCTATCACTAATGTTTGAAGGCTTTGATAAGCAAGAGCCCTCAACTCTTCATCCATGTGAACCGTAAGTCTTGCAAGTAAATCTACAAGCTCAGCACCAGTAATGCCATCTGGAATGAGTCTTGGAACAGCAGCTACACAAGTACGGAATAAGTCAATTCGAGGCTTTCTTTCACCAGTAATTAGCTCATCAGGCTCTTGACGTAAAAAGTACGAAGAAAAGCTTGGGTTTGAAGTAGCATGAGACTCTTTGTTTACATTCTGAACATTGGTCAGCATCAAAGGACGACCATAATGAACATCCAGAGCTCTTAAAATGTCCACAAAAACTCTTCGAACATGAGGGAAATATGCTGACATTCCAATGCTTCGAGCTGTATCATCAGTCAGCATTTTGTTGAGGAAAGTCTTCTTCACTCGCAAGGTGTTTCCTGATGGCATGACTCCCACTGTGCGTGGCATAGGAGGTTCCCCTTCTTTCTGCTGCAGGCTGTCAGCAACAACAAGGAACGCACGCAGGCCTATACTCATACGCTCAGGAGTTAAGATAATTTTAATAGGCCGCCCAACAGAGAGAAGGTCAAAGACAATTTCTCGCATAGCAAAATCAAGTCTCTCTTGAGCGATGAATTGAATAATTTTCACAAAAATATTCAAGGGTGTGTCCCGAGGCACAACTGCTTTAGAACCCTTTGGGAACAGAGAGTTTACAATGCTTTGCAAGCGAGACTGGGTGGCTGAGTTACTCTCACATTTGATACGAATCATATAGACCCAAAGTAGTCGATACAGAGCTTCTAAAGCAACACGGCACATCTTTGGATCCTTGTTTTTCAAGTGAGATAGACACATGGCAAGGAAGTAGTGCCAATTCTGTAAAAAGAATTGCTTTTGACTGACACACAATAAACAAGTCACCATGGGAAAAAGAGGTAATCTGTGCTTATTTTTGGTGCACATATCCAGTGTCTGAGTGTATAGCATCTCAACAAAATTCTTCAGACAAGGAACATTTACTTCATTCTTCACAGTAGCAGCAACTGGGACAAGAATCTCAACAAATAAACCAGCCAAGGCATGCTTGACATCCTTGTCTTTCACTTCCAAAAAATACTGTGCACATTCTTGCATAAATTGAAAAGATGCCTCAAACTCTTCTATGGGCACCATTTTGACTCGGAAGAATTTCATTCCCATCAATAAAGCTATTATACTGTGAGTGGTAGTCATACTGTGTTGAGGATTAGGATTTGGCTCCTTGCTTCGCAGTTCTTTCAATTCTGCCATAAACCTTTTACGGACAGAGGAAAATCTTGACTGGGCGAGAGCACCAATTACTTCGGCATACAAGTCAGCAACAATGTGAATGTTTGCAGCATTTGGACTGCTTTGTGATCCTTCCCGATGTTTGAAATGTTTGAAGGCAATATCTTCAATATATCTAACAAGATCTTCATGACCTGGATGAAAGGGTAACTGTCGAAGCACTTCAATCAGCATCAGGCAGAAGATAAATTCAACTGCCAAATCTCTTCTTTCCTGCTGTAAATCAGCTTCACTACGTTCTGATGATTCAGTGCTGTGGAGAAAAGACCAACAAAAGTTAAAGTAGGCTGGACCAAGCAACTTCTGATAAAATTAGTTCTAGCATCAAAATTTCACATTTTCACCTTTTGCCTTTTTGATCGCTTTTCTTTTGTTCAGTCGATATTGGATCAGACACTCCCATCTGCCGTTTGTACCAAGCAAAAAGAGCTCTCAGAATAGAGGGCAAACAATGCTCAGCAACAGAGCCAAATGCACTGAGTAGTTGATCAAAATTAGAATCTTCTCCACGCTGCAGTGCTTTTGACAGCAAGCGTTCCTGAAAGGAGACAGGACAAAATTTGGCAAACAGTAAAGAATCGTTCAAGAATTTACAATGTTACATGCCAAATAGACTGTAAATAGAATAAGTTTTAAACTTACAGGAGGATCTCCCATGACAGACTCTATTTTCTTTTCTGCTTGAATAGTAAATTCAGCGAATAAGGTTCTCATAACAAATTCCCCTGGGCGTATGTTAATATCAACATTGACACATGTAGGGTATGGAGAACGTTCTTTGTGAGCACCCCAAGGAAGCATTGTGCCTTCTTTGGCACCTGTAACCTCTGATAAAACAATTGAACAAGTTATTAAATACCTTTCAGTAAAAAAGACTGTAAGTACAAAAGCAAACCAGAAATAGTCATCAATATTATATTTACCTGACAAAGTGCCAATGTTAGTCAAGGGAGATGAGTGAATGAGAAATCCTCTTTCTTGGCGATTGGCCTCTGGTGTAGCAGGTGCAGAGCTAACACCACCAGTGCCTGGGCTGGAAGTACTTCCCAAACCAGGACTCAGACTAAGTCCGCCTTCAGCGCCACTCACGCCATCACTGGTATTGAGAAGTCCACTACTCTGCGGTGGGGCTCTCTCACCAACAGAGTGTTCAAATTGGGAATCAATTCCTGAGGCTGAAGACACTGTCACCTCAACACCACTCCCTGCAAGCAGAACACAGGAACAAATTATTCCTTGCTGTAGAGAGGTAAAGAAGAGCTAGGGCATAGGTAGAAGAAAGTAGGGGTAACACATAATTGGATCTAGGGATCTCAACAGGTGACCATGGCAGAGCAAGCCACCACACATGATCCTGTTTGTGCAACACTGCCAAGAAATGCTTCAAACTTAATTTCTTACCAGAGGAAGTGGCACTTTCCATGGCTCCTCCTTCTTCAGGCTGCTTCATCCCTGTGCAAAAAGGCAGTTTCAGTAAAGAAATTTCACAAAAGATAAATAAATATGACTTGGTAAACATACACCAAACAAGATTTGAAACACATACTAAATGAATACTATCCTCTCAAATTTTATGAGCTTAAATGAATCAATTATATTAATACATTAGGGATATAGGTACCATATGAGGTGTTTTGCTCGTCTTCTTCGCCTTCCTCTAAAAGCATTCTGTCATATAAGAGGACAGGCTTTATCAAATGATGATCCGTCCTCTGACGGTAATTTCACTTCTATGGTGTGAACCATTCGACCTGAAAGCAAAACCAGATATGAACCAAGTTAAACCCAGAGCCTATCACAACATTGTTTGTCCCCAAAATTTTTATGCACAAGCCAGAATAAATAAATTTAGACTACTCGTACAAATAAGCACCGGATTTTCTGAACGTTTCCATTTTAACACAGCTAAATACACACGTGGAAGAGAGAAACTTGAAAATACGTAGGCTTTTAAGGCTCACTAGCAGCCTACAAGAATGAATCAATTATTAGACGTATATTTAGGTTATGCCGGGCACACAATAAACAACCGACATATAAGAACGGGAAACTACCTAAGATTGTCTATTGCGCGAGCACATGAAGTTCTACGATGACAACAGTCGCAGAGGACTCAAAGATCTCTGTTTATTATTAATTGTTTATACCTTTTTCCGAAACAATAACAGCTGAGTGCGAAATTGCAGACTATATCCACCTTTCATTCGAAGGCGGGAAGGGAAGGTGGGCGGGGCAAAGGGGGCGGGCGGGGGAGGCAAAATTGCCAAACCCACCTCACTTTACAAGGGGCGCGACGCTGCAAATACCAACCCCTGCTAATCGTATCCATTATAGGATCAACTTCTATCAAAACATTCTGTTGCTCGTACTTTTGCATGGAAAAAATATTTAGGTTTGACTATAGTGGTCGATTTAATTCGATTTTACAAAGGTAAAGAAAAAAGAAAACTTGCCTTATTTTGTGTTTTGTTGTTGGTAAAGACAATCATTCTTCGTTTGTTTTGGTGTTCTTTTGTTCTTCTCTTGCCACCTTTTTCGTCTGCTCTCAAACACCCTGTTTGCGCTGTTTGTCTCGAACTCTCGTAGTTCGTCTGATGTCGTGTCATTCAACGAATAACCTCTCCGTATGACTGCATAACTGCACTGGTAAGCTATCGGGAAGGATTTTTCATTAAGTTGAGGTGGCTTTAACTAGGTTTATGCAATTGATCTGCTTGATTATTCGTGTCATGCCACTCTTGAATGACTGCCCTGGGTGGGTCTGTTGGGGTGGCTTTCATTGCCCATCCAATTTTTTTTTCCAGTTGGAGTGGATGAATTGCATTTTGCCTTATCATTGTGATTTGAGTTATAGTTGTCTTGCTATTTTTATCTTTATTGTGTTTAAGAAACGGTTCTGAGATTTTCAAACCAGCTTCTCCTTGGGTTGTATGTTGATTAAAGGATATATAAAAGTACAAAATCTATTTAAATCTTTTATTGTTGTATTTACAGTTTCTGGTACAGGCTTAATCTTACATAGCTTAAATAGTCTTTTTTGTCATAATTCACAAACTAACAAATTAACTAACCATTGGGAACATATCAGTCAATATGACTTTCAACTGACTCTGACATGTCTTAATTGAAGTGTTCACACAAGGCAATCTCCTAGCACCAAAAAGTTTTGCATTGACTTAGTTTACTCGATTATTGATGTGATGATTCACATTGATAAAGCCTAGAAGATTTTTTTGTTTCTGATAACAATACAGATCTAAGAATGATGTTATTTTCTTCAGCTCATGGCACATTTGTTGCTTAGTGGTCAGTATTAAAAACAATGACCATCACATCCTGTCATAGCAGTCTTACAGAACTTATTTTTACCATTGACACCAGGCACTTACGCCAGAACAACTTAAAATACACTGAGCGCTTCATTGGGACAGAAATAAAGTCCCATGTTTGATCACATCTCCATTAATAAACTAACTTAATTTAGAGAAATATATAATATTTTCATAGGTTGAAAGAGAGTTTTGTTTTGTTTTCAAATACATGGGTGTTAAAGACAATCCCGACTAGAACAGGGAATGACAAGAAACTAATTTAGTCTCAAACTGGTTTGGGTTGAAATTCATCAAATGTGTTATCTGCATCTCATCTGCAGCACTTGGTGTCACCTCAGAAAAATTAGAAGATCCCCAGAATAATCCATAAAAATCAAATTATGCATGGTAATCGTTTAGTTCCAGTCTCTCATTTATTTTCAGCATGTACACTTCAATAGGTATGTCATGGTTTTGTCCTTTATCTATTTACAAAAATATACACAAAATACTGTCTTTGGTTTAAAATTCTCAAGCACATAACAAGAGCAGAAAAAAGTGCAAAATTTAGAATAAACAAAGCTCTTAATGAACCTTTCAATTCAAAAGAGTGGTCATGATAAAAAGGTTACAAAAAACTTCTTTCAAAACATGCATCAAAATTTTAAAAATTACGTTTGTTGCCCAAGACTTTGAGCACTATGATCATTGCCCAGGCTCCTAGACAATATATTAATTGCACTTAATTCTCCTCTATTTCTGAGACTATCAATTAATATCAACATTTCAGGGATCTCAATTAATTTACCTATCTGCATGATCCTGTGTCAATGCATTGGTTTATCATGGATTTCTTTACGCCAGCAAACATGCTCTGCAAGATCAGTTTTACTATCGATAAAAAATGGTCCAGAGCCTCTTGATGGAGATAAATGTGAAAAATGTGCGAGGGGATCTGGTGCAGTTGCCATTCGAACTGAGTGAGTATAGTCTCGGGTTCCCCTTCTTCTTAATGTTTGATCCATTTTGTTGGCTGGAGTGGCATCTCTCCACTGCATCCAGCAATGGCGGTATATAGGGTCTGCTGGACCCCAATTTCTTGAAGGCTTCACTGCACTCAAAAATTTCTAAATAAAACATAAACAATCCATGTATCAAAAACAAAAGAAAACAGTTAAAACAGAATGCTCATTTTAAAGACTAAAAGAGAATGAAAACTGCTTAAAACTGTGCTGAAGACTTACCTGGCAGATGTTGTAATCAACCTGAATGCAAACTTGTCGAAGAGCTGTCACACAGATTGTGGCCCACCCAGCAAAATACAAACCCCATCCCAGCAACACTTGCCACGGTGGGTCATGCCTGCCCGGAGGACCATCCCATGGCATCACTACCACAGACCACGCTTCTATGGTCTGGAAAAAAAAGTCATGTCAATAACATTGTAAGTTTGGATTAGGAGCTAAGATTAAGGTGCAGTCAACAGTTTTGCTTACCAACAGGTAGAGTGGGGCCAGGCACCATAATATTTTCCACAGTGGGCCCAGCTTACTTCCCACAACAAACTCCATGTCAGTGTAGAGAGGCCCACAGCCATAAATCCAAACAAATGCAACAAGTTCTGTGACTGTGCATGCCAAGGCCAGGCGTCCAACTACATAGTGGTCCAGCACATGAATTAATGAAAGCCATTCCTGAGAACAGAAAAATTAGCATTTTGCATTAAAGCATCTTACTTGATTGCAACAATACTAGGTGGAAAAATGCTTACAGGTATCATACACAGAGCTCCAAGCACAAAGCCTATAAAGCAGCAAACAGCGGCAGTTTTCCACCATTCCCAATGTCGCTTGGACTCCACATGAATTGCTGACAATACAGTATCTAAAAGTGGCACCTTAAAATAAAAATAATAAAGATAGAAATTTTAAAAAAATACTATCAAGCTATTTGAAATTAAATAGGTCGTATGTATGTATCTTACCAAAGAAGCAAAACCTGCACAGACTATAACAAGGAAGCCTACAGCAGCTATGATCAGGTCAGTGTTACCCCTCGCTGCTGCATCGTAAAGAAGTGTCAGTACCAAGGTCTCGGGGAGGTCTGATGCTACAAGTTGCCGCAGCTGACTTGGCTGCACTATTTGACCCAGCCTGAGGAAAACTATCCCCACCCACAAGACTCCAACCAGCAAACTGCACACAACCAAAGCAATGGCAGTCCTGGAACAGCAAAACAGGTAATGCATTCAGACCTGAGATGGTTCATGACGTGGAGGTTGTTTCTGAATGGCTCCTCAAAACCTACCACACAGCGTTGCTTTTAGAATAAAATCGTCCAGCACCAGTCACTATATTTCCAAATCCAATGTGGGTGGAGAAGAATATTTGCACGGTGGCAAAATACCATGTCTGAAAACAAACAAAAAAGAGATGGCATTTTTAGAGACTGTCACTGTATAATTGTATAAAGTATGAAAGTACCAGAGCGGTCGGTCGCTCCTTTCCCTGTCCACTTCAGCCGAGGCGCCCGAAAGAAGGCAACTCTTCTGACACCTGCTGGCAGGCAACGTGCTCGGTTTTCAGGTCTTCAAACTCACCTCCGCGTTGAGCAGCACGTCCCAGTCGAACTTGAGGAGCATCTCGAGCCCCGCGTCCGCCCCGGGCATGAGAGCGCTGTCCACCAGCAGGGCCACCATGCCCGCCACCAGGGACACCAGCAGCACGGCGAGGACGCGGCGGTAGCCTCGCGCGCCGCGGAACACACTGCAACAACGGGGAAACGAAACGAAAAGCGTGATGCATCCGTCTGAGAAACGAGGCTCAAATCGAGAACTCTCGAATGGGGCTCACCACAGCAGGGCGATGGTCCACAGCAGGAAGAGGAAGGTGGCCGTCACGCTGAACCACATGGGCTCCTCCACGGGTCTCTTGAGGAACGTCTTCCTGCGAAACAAATATCGATTACACTCTCGAACTGACCCTTGGCTTTGGCAAGCCTGAGCCGCGGCGACTTACTTGAGGCACGCTTCTCCAGACGTCCTCGAGAAAAGGTAGCCTTCCTGCAGGACAAGGGAAAAGATGACGGTTAAAAACCAAAAGCCTCGACGGGGAGTCGAACCCGTGATCAAAGCGGTGGCTATGCTCACCGTTCCACTGCTGTGGCGGCACTCGCTGAAGGGCACGGGGCCCTTGGCGGTCCAGACGGCGAAGAAGAGTGACAGCGCCATGAACACGGGCCAGTACACGGACAGCATCGCGGACACGAGCACCTTGACCACGCCGACGCCTGCAACACCGGCACCGCCCTTCGCTGTAACTTGTCCGTCCAGGAAACTGAGCGTATCAAGATTGGGGGACGGTGCGAGGGGACCGCGACTTACCGGTGAAGAGCGGCACGGCGCGCCACACGCGCGTCACGCCCTGCTCGCACAGCTGGCCCAGCCCCACCTCGAGCAGCGCCAGCGGCACGCCCAGCAGCAGCGTCGCGGCGCAGTACACGGCCAGGAAGGAGCCTGCAACAAGCACACAGACCGTGTTACAGTGTGCTGTCTGTTTCGGCAAAACAGGCAGGCATTGAGGCCCCTGCAAGCATGCAACTTTTCACACACGCCCTGTTGGTAGGCAACCTTTCATACAATCAACGCCACGCCACTGGCCGCGCCAGCACCAACTGCACACGGATTGGCAGCCAATGCGGCGACACTGTTAACGCCCTAACAGGCCCACCATCGCGTTCACAAGTTACGTCACGACGTCACGCCCCCGGGCCCGGCGGTCCAGGCTGCATCGCGTGTGGATCGGCCGCAGGCCGCGCGGCAGCGCCAGCGGACTCTGTCTCTCTCGCACTCGTGGGGCGGTGGGGCGTGCCGCAGGGGTGCGAGAGAGAAGGGGCCACTCAACGTTTCGCAGTGGCGGCAACCACCCGCGGGGCAGTCATTGGAAAACGCGGCGGTCGCGTGGCGCGGCAGGCCGAGCCTGCGGTGGTCCACGAGGCCGTGCCGCCGTGGCGCTCGGGGGAAGTCCACGCTCTCGTAGAACCAAAGCGAGAGCATAAGCAAACAAGACGGTTCAATTTTTTCTTTCCACTCTCGTTACGCGCCACTTTTTGTTTGGAGAAGTGTGTTTTTCCAGGAAGGAAAGTATGAAAGTAAATGCGCCTTCCTTGCTGCGTATTCGAACCCGCGTCCGCCGCCTCGGCCTGCAACAAAGGGGCAGCGATGCCGCGGTGCATGGCGGGGCCAGGCGGGGCGGTGTGGGTGTCTGCCGGCAAGCAGAGGCCAGGCGGTCAGGCAAGGCAGGCCGCTCGCCCCGCGCCGCAGCGCGCGCACAAAGCCGTGCTCGGCTTCTCGGATTCGAATCGCATCATCTTCCCACCCATTGACTTTGCTCAATGCGCCGCAGCCACCGCTGTGATTGGCTGAGACGCCGCGTCCTTGTCGCACCCGCTGCCGAGGGGCCGGGGCGGAGTGACAGAGACAGACGGTCCGGCTGCCTGGAGCTGCCTGCACGGCGGCGCCGCGCCTCGTGGAAGAGGGATTGCTTGTCCTCCCCTCGCGGCGTCGCGGCGCCTTGCGGTGCGGGGGCAGCCCGGGGCGTCGCCCCACTGTCGGGCCGCTGCAGCACTCAGTGGAGGCCCGGCGGCCAATCACCGCGTGCCTTTGTGGTGCAGTCTGCACAAAGAGCGGCTAAACACCGCGACCCCCAAAGTGGCCAGGCCGGGCCGCTCCCAAGTGGGCCAGGCGAACTTTTGGGAGCGGGGCGGGCCGGGCGCAGTGGCCGTGAGCCACCGTGAGCGGCATTCGGCTTTGGCAGCATCCGCGGATCCTCCGCCCGACTCGGCCGCTCCGTTTGCAGCAACCTTGCGGCTGCTCGAGGCACTGCACTGCGAAAGAGCGGAGCACAGTGGACTCCACTGACGCGCGGGGGAACGTCTCCTCGGACTCGCCTTTCAGCAGGTTATTACCATCTGCACCCGCCCCGCCCCGCCCCGCCCCGCCCGCCCCGCCACGGCACAGTGCACACGGCACGCGCCGCCGCGGCCCCCGTGGTCGCCACGCGCCGCCACGCGCGCGATGGGCAGCCTCTGGCAGCCACCTCGCGGCACTGCACCGACTGCAGCTGCAGGCCGGAAGGGAACCGAAGGGAACAGGACCGGTCGGCGCAACAAGTGGCCCGGAATCGGGAATCACCCGGATCGGAATCGAACACCGGAGTCGGGGGACTCGGTTATTGCCGCTTACGAAATCGAGACGCCCACAGCCAAGCCTTTAGCAGCGCCCGGTACTCGGCAGTCGCGTTGTGGTTCGCAGTGTACGCACCCCGGGAAGGAGAACTGCACGCCCGGCGCTTACAGTGCATCGGCGTCGCTCTGTCTCTCTCGCACCCCTACGCCACGCCCCACGAGTGCGAGAGAGACAGCGCGGCGGCCTGCTCGAGGGGAGCAAGGGCCGTGGCCGCGCCAAGTGAGCTGTCACGGCTGCACTTGCTCCCCGCGGCTGCGTTTTTATTTTTATTTCTATCTTTACCGCCCAGTAATGACCGGCTCGCTTTGCAGAACGACGGGGTTGCGCAACGGCGACAGTACGGACCGTTCGGCCAGAAAATAAGCGGGCCGTGATTAACACACAGAAGCAGCCACCAACAACAAAATAACAAGTGTAGTTTTGTTCGCATGCTTGCGACTTACACGAGATGCTTCGTGCTTTAAAACGGCCAAAATCTGAGACGTTTGGCCGCCTCACTCCGCCACGCGTCGGAGTGCATGCAAGCAATGCGAGCCTGCCGCAAGGTGGAGGGGGGCGGCCCTGGCAATGAACCCGTAGTGTTCCGGCCCGCCGCGCCTGCCGCCCCAGCCGCGCCCCGCCGAGACGCGTCCGGCCTGCGTCCGGTGCGCGCGCCAGCCGCGCCAGCGCCGACGACGACGCCCCGAGGTCCTTCCCTGCCGATACCGCGTCCACGCGACACTCTCGCCGTGGTGCTGCAGGCGGCACGCCACTGCCGCGGGCGGTGCGTGCTCCGGGCCGCTCACGCACGCCTCACGCACACTCACGCACACTCGCGCCAGGCAGGCGTTATGAAATGCCATTGGCAGCGCCACCCCTTCACGTCACATAACTAGGATTTGGCGGCGTCGCCGTCGCGCCTGTTGGTCTTGGCCTGCCGCGCGGTGCACTGCAAGTGCTGAGCAGTGCAGTGCCATTCGTCATCCGCGAGGAGAGGATGACGGGGAGCAAGGCGCCGAAGGGCGCGGCGACTGCAGGGGCCACTGCAGTATCGACGTGAAAGTGTTACAAAGTCCGGTCCAGTCCGCGCGGCCTTCCAGATGACCCCCTCCCCTTCCCCCGCCCACCTGCAGCAATGTTATGCTAATCGCCGTGCCGTGCCGCGCGATTGGTGCGAAGGCGTGGCGCGTAAGCCGACTGCAGTGTCGCAGCGGACGACAAGCTCCTCGCGGTGCACCGGGAAAAAACAACGCCAAGCACACCGTCTTGACGCCTCGTTTTGTTCTACAGGGACGTTGTTTCGCCCGCAGCTTCATCTCAGCATGCAGTGAGAAACGTGACAGGGTCAAAGTGCTTCGGGAGAAGACCGCCAGACCACCTGACAGTCCTGCGCTCTGTTCGGCCGATTCGGGACCGGGCCGCGATGTGAGGTAGCCGAGTGAAGATCAAAGTGGCCGTGGAGCCCGGCGGCGGGAACGACGGCCCTGACCGCTGCAGGCCGCTGCAGGATGCGGCAGGCGCGCATCAGGACGCAGGACGCGCCTCGCCTCCGCGACGAGCAGGAGCAGTCCGGGATGGTGATGAGGAGCAGAGGACCACTTTCGTCCGGAACAGGTTCCGCGCGGCTGTCCGGCCGCCCGACCGCCCGGTCGCCGCCGTTGAATCATATTGGAAGAAACTAAAAGTCCGCCCCCCTCCCCTTTCCCTCGCCTTCTCCGGTGGCAATATCGGGGACACCCAATAAACACTGCGGCGGCGGCGGCGGCGGCTTGTGCCTAATAGCCAGCGGCCTACTTCTCCCGGCCGATCCAATAGCAGTGCGGCGCTGGCACTCTCACTGACAAAGGCAGTGTCGGCCGCGCCGGCATTGCTTAATTTATTCTGGCGTGCCGTGCCGCCGTGCCGAATCGAACCGCGGAACTCTATGACGCATTGGGAGCAACTGGAGCTGCAGCGGGTTGGCAAACCTCCACCCAGTGAGTGAGTGAGTCCACGCGTCAACACCCGCCCCGCGGCGCCCCGCCCAGCCGGCCTCTCTGTCTAGTCTCTCTCGGCTGGAGTGACTCTCAGCAGTCGCTTGCCGTCCGAGCCGCGCGGCCGCAGATACGCGTCTTTTCCCGCGGCGTGTCCAACGAGCGAGCCGCTCCAGGCAGCCGGGGCAGCGCACTGCGTACTGCCGTCAGCACTCCATGCCGGCGTGCAGCCTCCAGCGGCGCGGCCAGCCCGTCCAGCAGTTAGCTCGTGTTTGACTTGAAAAACTGCTGCCGTCAGCCTGCCGCTGCCCCGTCACGGTGGCCGAGCACGGGCCGAGCTGCTGGCGCCCGGCCGGCCGGGGAGGAGCGCCGAGACACTCTCCGGTCATTCTCAGATTCACCTTGGGGCGAACAAACAGCATTCAGGGAGGCGTTTTCCTGTGCGAGGTGCGCGCGGCGCACTCCAGCGGCCGTTCTCTCAGTGTTTCTAGTGTGCTTGAGCAGCTGGGGAAGTGCACCGGGCGGCCTGCCGCTGCCGCCGCTGGAGCGCCTGCTGAGTCAGGGGTAGGCAGCACCGCAACACACCGCTGCTCGACGGGCGGGTAGTCGGCAGGCGGACTGTGGGCGTCGGTGGAAACGCGCTGACAACCCATCGCTACGCTTTATTTTGGAAGAAAGAACCAGATAAGATGCGATATTGCTGAAAGAATGCAGTGGATCTTTCTTTTCAAACCCCTGGGGATCAAGCATCTAGCAGACAATGGGTGTGGAAAATGATGGTTTACACTGAGCATGCCACACTGCTTACCTCCTCCGTACTGCAGCACCAGCCGCGGCAGGCGCACCAGGTTGCCGAGGGACGCGGCCAGGGTGAGGGCGGCCAGGGCGGCGTCCACGCTCCAGAGGCCCCCGCACTGTAACACAAACAAGGAAACATTGACTCAACGCCACGGCACGCCGCACGGCGCAGCACAGCCCGTCCCGTACGGGCCGCGCGCGGCCTGGCCCAGGGCCTGGCCCGGCATGTCCGGCGCAGAGCATCATCGCACCCAAACCCGTTTCGTTTCGAATCAGCAATAATGAGTGAGTGAGTGGGACGGAGAGCGTGGAGGAGCACGCGCGTCCGCCGCGGAGACGGCCTTCTCGGGGACGTCCAGGCTCCGCCGGCCACTGGCCGCCACCGGAGAAAGTGGTTATGGTTTCGGAGGCGGTGCCGCCACTGGCCGCCACCTGCTGTGGGGTTGCCGCCACCGCGCGACCGCCGCGACCCGGATCATCGTGTCGGCGCGGCGAATATTAGGAAACGGACCGCGAGGGCGAGGACGGCGCGGACGGCCCCGCGGCGCTGCCCCGCCCGCCCGGCCGCCAGGCCCGGTCCACCCGGACGGAGAAATTCGCCAATTGGCGCACGCGTTGCACAATGATGGCGGGCTGGACGCCACGCGGAGGCTACACTAAGACGAGCCTGGCGCGAAAAGCAAACCTTGGCGGCGACGACGGCCGTCACCAGAGAGGACTCCTACGTGATATGCATCATGTCGGGTTGGTGCTCTCACCGCAGTGCAAGTGCGGCGCGGTGCCGCACCGTGGAGAGATCCACTGCAGCTGCGGACGCCGCGGACGGCCATAACCCACGGCGATGTGTGCCGCGCGGCCTGGACGGCCCGGACTCGGCCTAGGCATGTGGACGAGCGAGATGCACGGCCGTCACCTGTCAGCCGGCCAGCGAGCCGCGGCCGCACCGCGCCGGACGGCGAGGGAAACCCTCAATGCCTTCTTTATCGACGCGTTTTCATGTTATTCCATTCGACATTAAAAAACGGGTCCCGTATGAGGACACGCCGGGACACGCGGAGAGGGATAGAGATGGGGAGATGTCCCGAGCGATACAGAGTGATGCCCTCGGGAGAGGACCGACCCCGCCGAGCCGCGTGAGCCCCACGCACAAGCAAAGGCCGCCTGGCTGATTCAGTATCGTCGCTCTGCCTCCCTCGCACTCACGGAGCGTCAGTAAGCGGCGCGAGGGAGACGGAGCGACGAAAGCTCTCTTCGGCATCGGCCTGCAGGGCGGTATTAAAAGTCACTCGGGCGCGAGGCGAGGGTGGGTGGGGGATACACCGTCGGGGTCAGTCCCCCTTCCACGCCGCGGGTCGCAGCGCGGTTCGGCCACCTAGGCCTCCTCGGCCACCTGGCGTTCTGCAGGTGAGCCGCGCCAGCCAATCAGACGGACAGTGCAGGCCCAGGTTGGTGCCGGTGACGCGTTCGCCAAACGTGAAACGCCGACGCCACACTTTGGCGCTCACGCCCCGTCCGCGACGCGTGCCTTCACAGTGCCGGCTCAATTAAGCGGCGGAGGGCCGGCGGGTCGGAGGGCCAAAGGGCCGAAAAGCCAAAGAGCCGTTGTCCGCGTCCGTCCAGGCGTCCCGGCCCGCCATCGCCGCCACGCTGGAGAAGTGATTTTCGTCAGCTTTCTCCCCATGACGGAAAATTGTCTGGCTGCCGCGATAGCCATCACACTATAACCTGACGCCTGTTGCCTTCGTCAGCGTGTGTGTGTGTGTGTGTGTGCGCGAATGTGCGGCATTACGTCTCAGAGAGGCGTTTTATGGTCTTTGATTTAAAAAAAACACACACTGCTTGCATAGTTACTGGGCGAGCTATCATGACGCTGCTGCGCGGTGCTGCGTGGTGCTGAAGGATGCCGCGAGCGCTCTTTTTGCCGCGCTCGCGGGGCGCTATCGAGAGCGTTCTCCACGGCGAGAGAGAAAGAAAGGCCCCACAAAAAAAGTAAGAGATGGAGCCATAGCCATTGAGCGTGCCTCTCCGAATAAGTAGCCTTGATGAAAGGAAAGCAGAGCATGAATACGAGGCCGGGTGGCAAGCCCAAGCCGGGTGGCGTGAGGCCGCTGGGGCGCCTGCCGACTGCCGGGCGGGCCCGCCCGTTACACACACGTGCGCTGCGGCGTTGCCTACCCGACACCCGACAGGCGCTCCAAACTAACATTGACGTCAGGCAGAGTTCACGTGGGCGTGGCTGTTCCCCCCCAAGGGGTAGTCTGGACTTGGTGAAGAAGGGATGCTTCTCCCACAAGCCCCCTGCAGGTCGGCCACACCCGTCGCCAAATGCCCTTGACGGGCATGCAGTTCACAGAGCGGGCCAGTGGGTGAGGCTACAATCTGACTAGAATGAGAATTCCTCGCTTATCACAGAGTGCGAATCGCGACCGAACTGAGGCCGGACCTTCCTCTACTACATGAGCTGCTCCCGGCCGGCCGACGGGCCGCGCCAACTTCGTGACCCGCTCGGCCTCCGAGGCGCCTTTCGTGTCCATCGCGCGGCGGGGCGGGGCGGGGCGGGGCCGACACGCCGGCCAGCCAGATGAATGAATGCACTCCATCACCGCCGCCACGCCGCCACACATTTACCCAACACACCGATAAAGCAGGCGGGTTCGTAGAAAACCGGCAAAAGGGCAGCGAGAAGGGCCGGGCCGGGCCAGGCTGCCAGGCTATCCGTTGCGCTCGGCGCTCCACAAACACGGGGGCTTTGACCTCCGCGTGCCCGACGCGGCCGGAACCTTTTTTATGACTATTTTTAAGGCGCAGCCTGCAGCTGCTATCATCCGTGTGGCTAATTAGACGAGGGAAAGGCAAGGGTGCCTAGGGCTGGCGGACGCCACGGGCTGGACAACAGGGCTGGACGACGCCGAGGGCCAAAAGACCGACGCCGAGGGCCAAGAGACCGACGCAATGAAGTCCGGTGGGTGCAGCACCGCGCTGCCCCCGGCGCATGCCTGGCCTGACCTTTGGTGCAACTGCTCCGGCCACACTGCAGGGCGCGCGCCGTGCGCTGCCACCCGCACGCAGGGACTGGCGGACTGGCCTGACGGACGGCGAGGACGGAGAAAGGCGCGGTGAAGGGTGCACGCTGGATGCAGCGCCCTCGCCCGCCGTCGAGAGACACAGAACATGTCCGGCAGCGCAACGGGTTGCGCGCCGGCGTGTGTTCCGCACTGACTCGGGTTCGACTCCCGGCAGTGGGCACTTCTTTTTGACGTTTCCTCCCGGCAGTGGCGGTTGCCTGAGACAGCCCCCGACCAATGAGGAAGCACCTCGCTTTCGGCGGGAAGCCTCAAGTGAAGGCGGTAGCGTAGCGGCCTCGCCGTTTTTGATCGACGCCAAGGTGCAGAGCCGTCCTGGCCGCCGCCTCTCCCTCGTGGCGGCGAGGCGGCCGGACGGACGCCCTCCACGCGGCTCAGCCAGGCTCAGCTCCCAGCTGCCGCCGCGCTGTTCACTTGCACTTTTGTCTCGGCTCGTCGCGAAGCTGTGACCGGCACGATTAATTAGAGTAACGACGGGGCGGGGCGGGGCGGGGCGGGCGGGGCGGCACCGCCTCGGAAAGGCTGGGCGTAGCCCGCCCGCCGTCTTTGAAAGAACGAAGGGGGCGGCGCGGGGTCCCCCGCCGCGCGCTCCCTCGGGGTGGGCGCCGGGGGCCCGGTGGACGCCCCCGCGGCCGCCGGCTCGCCCCCCGGGCTGCCGGGGGCCGCCTGTTCACGCACCCCCGTCGCGAAGGGGCAAGGCCCGGGCCATTAATGTCGTAACGCGGGGCGGGGCGGCTCCCCCCGGCATCGCCTGGGGCTTGCGCACCCCTCCGCGCCGCGCGTCTGGTAAGGCAAATTGGCGGCGCGGCGGCAGGAACCCGCCGCGCCGAGCCCCGGGGAACGAGCAGCCTCGTCCGCCGCCGAGGGGTCACTCCCCGGGTCCGCGGTCAGGCGAACGCGTCCCGGCACAGCACTGGTCGACACGGCCACCCGGGTTGGGCCCCCCGTCATTGTAAAAAAGGGAAGGGCCCGGGCCATTTTTGTCCTTTGGGGTTTTGCCCGTTCGCTTTCGCCGGGCCCCCGTCGCTCCATTTTGAAAATTTGGTTCCCCTTTTGGGCGCCCAATTTCCCGCCCGTACCCGCCACCCCCGGCTCGCGCGGCTCGCTACGGGGTCGGGAGCCCGAACGGATGCAGTAAAGGGCAAATTTTGGAAACGGGGCGACAGGAAAAACCAAACTGGCAGCAGCGCCACGGGAAGTGGAGCCTCAAACCCCGCGGGGTATTTTTGAAAAATTTTTTTGCGTTCGATTCGAAGAAAAAGACATTGCCGGTTTTAAGCCCCGTCAGGGCCCAAAAAGGCGAAATTTTGTACTTTATGCGGGACGAGACCAAAGTCCGAGAATTGCTACTTTTTGAAAAGGGTACTTATTTTCCTTGTTATTTTTTTCACTTTCACCGTCATCGTCACCAACCAAAGGGACGGAGCGCCTCGCTGCCGCAAGTCTGCGGCGAGCGCGGCCACTTGTCACTCCGTTACCATTACGTGGACCTTCTTTTTTTCCCGCTGACTGACCCCCCCCCCCCTCCCCCTTCCCCTGTCCACTCGGCTCGCCGTTTAATTGAATAACAAAACGGGCTTCGGGAGGCGACTGACTTGCAGCGGGGAGGCGACTTTTCCTGCTGCAGAAGCCGCCCCGGCGGCCCCGGCACAGCAGCCCGGAGCCAGGCAGCCTGCCACCCATTACTTATTCACGTACCGAATGAGTGCCAATTACGCTCCAGAGCCCCCCCCCCCCCCCGCCCAGATGCAGCGGCCCAGTTCTCAAATAACGTTCATCGGCATGCCGGCTGCCTCTCTTGCATGGCTGCGTCCGAAAGCCGGAAAACCTGGCCCCGGCCCGGTATCAATTCCTCTCCAAAACAACCAACAGACACGCCGACGCCGACGGACGGGCCGGGGTTCGACGCGCCGTGACGCCGTGACGCGTCTCAAGGAGGAAGAGGCCACGAGCTGACTTTCCCGTCCGTGTCGTGTCAGCGGCCCGGCAGCCGGGTGTCAGTTGTCAGTCAGTTGTTGTCGGGCCGGGGCGGG